GAACATCGAGTATGGATCCGAATCGATGTCATTCTATCGCTTGAGCTTGGCAAGGCGATCGTTTCTCGAGTCGGTCGAGTGACCGTGGGAAGCTGTTCCCGCGACATGGCGGCACGAAGAAGGCAGTTGGACACGACGCGAAGTCACGAGAAGTCTTTTTCATTTGGTGTCCAGCTGCAGTTACGCGTCCAGCGTTTGTGCAGGTCGAACGTGCATACAAAAAGTCATTGCGGCAGATGTGAGTCAATGCGACCGACGGAGGGTGTCGTGCACCAGGCGATCCATTTTGATCCGTTGGGTCGAACTTCAGCCTACGCGCCACTCAACGGATGCTTGAAGATCGATGGATCGCTGTGGCAATGTGGATGATGCCAAGTATACGTCGCGAGCTCTGTTAGTGTGGAAACTACAAAACATATAGTAGCACAGTTGGCGTGAATAGTAAACGCACTGGGAGAGTCGCTACAATGACAGACAAGCATGTACACAAGATCGACCGGCTACAGGTACGGATTTTCGTTGATCACGTCTAGAACGACTACGTCCACCTGATCGAAGGGATGGCGCGAGTGTCAAGTGGTGAGCCTCACAAGTTCGACTAGACGTTGCGACTAACAAAAGCGAGTACATGCAGCAAGCCGGTCCATGCGTTCAAGATCGTGTATGCTCCACATTGAGGAGTCGAACCTCGCTCGACATGACGCATCCTGGCCAGTGCAGTCACGCGATGCATGGATGACGATGCCATGCTGTGTGAAGTGCGACCACGTAAGAGCTGCAGGTGCGCGCAAATTGGCACGTCGTCGATTTAAAGCAGGTACATTGGGCTGAGCAATACTCTTGCAGCAGATCGCTTGCCGATTCCGGATGGTGCGACGTCTACGAACCCAGCAGCTAGTGAGCAGTTTGTAGACAAAACAATAGGGGGGCAGGACGTAATAGAAGCGCGACGCACCCAAGAGCGTAGTCAAGAAGGATTCTCTCACAGCCAGCGACCTCGCCAGGGTATCGGGGCATCGGCACGACTCTATTTGCTTGATCAAGGCGTCTCTTACCACTGACTACTAAAACCTCATCGAGATGCAACTTGAGCTGCGCTGGTCGTTGTACGCTCCACGTCGGCCATACAGGAAAGAGCACAAGAAGCCGGCGGATGACAAGGCTTTCTGGTCCTTATGACCCTTTACACCACAGAAAAAGCAGTGCGCTTGCGGTCACCGTCCATCAAAGACCGCTTGGATGGACTGTTGAAGATTACAGGAGGAAGCCATCGACGCAAGATGATTCATGACCAATCTCGTCGAGCCGGTCGGTCGGAGTCAGCTGCTGCGGTACTTGAAGGCTTCAACTATCGAAGCAGTGAAGAGTGAGACGATGCGATGGACTCGTGGTTTTTCATGGGGGGCGGGTGGGTGGAAGGCGCGACTAGCGAGAAGTGATGATGGATGCATTGAGGGATGGACCAGGGGGGAGAGGTAGCCAGCCCTCGTCGGTGATAGGTTGCGAGGCCAAAGAAGGCAGTCGGCGACGCTTGAAATGCAGTATCCAGCTGCAGCTGGCGCACCCATTCGACTCAGGTCGATACGAAGGGTCCGGATAGAGAGTCCGCAGTTGATTCCATACGCAGGACCGTACTGCGCTTTTGCAGCTGCCTCGAGCGAAGTACAGGTACAGCAATGAGCAGGTAGCTGTCTGACGTGGTCTCTACAGGATTTCTGCATTGTGAACGGATCCACTTGCGCGCGACGTCGGACACGCGATTGCTCAAACACCGCAAATTAGTCACGTCGTCACACTTACGTGTGCTTGAGCTCGAAGGATTCGTACGCGGACTCATCCCGCAACGTGGGCCACCATGTTGTCCTGATCCCTGGAAGCGAATGACACGACTGAGCCCTTTGCGCTTTACTGTCCAGCCCGCCAGCCCGCACTCGTTCTCTGCGTTGCTAGGCTATGCGCTCACGCGCACACGTGTCATAGCTTCCCGAGCATCGTGCGGAAGCCAGCGACTTCATTAGGGATGAGTCGTGATAGCGAGTACTGCAAGAGAAACCCAGTAACGTTGACCAGCATTTCCGGTACCTCACACCGACAGTCTTGTTGTGCCTGTTCGTCGAATACCACATCAGGACTCTCATGTTGGCTTCTGGAGACCAATACGACGAAGATCGGATGGTGCTTGCAAGCAGTTGCTTTCATGTGCACAATCGCGTCGTAGCATCGAGCAGGTCCCACTTGTTCGACATTGCTGCCACATTCGCTGATAGTATGAACGATACGCACGTTGCTTGGCAATGTCAAAGAATAAAAAAGAGTATAAGTAAGGGACTGATGCTTGACGTAGACCGCCATTGACACAGAGACGCGGAGAGATTGCCGCAACTGATGCCAGGTGTTGTAGCTACTGACTGGAATTTGTGCTCGACCGGTGGCCAATCCACGAAACTACGCGTGCTACCGCTGTCACACACTTCTCTCGTAGTCTCTGTTTTCTATCGCTCGCCAGCGCGTTTATGAAGACCCACGAAGTTGCATGCCGAAAGAGGCGTCTCGCTGCAGTTGAGTGTCCCGCAATATTCCACACTTGGTGTGCTGCAAGCTCAAGTGCGTGGAAACGGCCAAGGCATGACACCCGCGGCACTCTTTTTTGCCGTCCTGCGTTTGAAACAGCCAAACGGTCAGGAAAACTCAGCAATCGCTGTAACGCAGCGCGTGATGTATTGGAAACGTAGAGGTCGCTTCGTTCGCTCGCCGAACTTTGCTGACACGAAGTCGTTGGTTGGCGGTTTCTGGGTCTTGCCGTGCTTTGCATCTAGCACCAATCTGAACTTGGATGTTGCGCTCTCCGAAAAGCGTAGTCATGTAAGTGTTTGCTGCTAGCTAGTGTTTGCTGGCTGGCCTCTTTTCACATTGGCACTGTCCGACTGCACTGAACTTGTGCTGACGTACTCCATGAGGACTGCCCGCATTCTCATCGTCTGTCATGACAAACTTACGGGCACGAAGTTGAAGATTTGGCCCATGGCCGAAGGTTTGGCTCCGATCAGCGCTGACGTGCGTGCGTTCGTGTTTTCGAGCCAGCCGCCACGACATGCGCAAGTGCGTGCAGGGTGAAAGTCTCGTCCACGACCAGCGCGAGGGCTCGTGCAGGGAATGTTGTGTGCAGGCCTCCGCCTTTTGATTCCTTCTTCAGCGGTGCAGTCATAGGCCATGGAACGCTTCCATTGAGTGTCTTTCCCACACGAGCGCAGCTTCAGCGCTCGAAGGTGCTGCTTCACTTCACATCAGTATCGCTACGCTCGGTACACTGTCGAGAAAAAAGGGTTGTACAAAAGGGAAACGAATCGGACTCAGCGTTTGTTTCGACGAGTCGGATGCACTGACATCAAAAGCGCGTTGTGGGCACATTTTTCGCACGGCGACTGTTGCAACCCAAGTTCGGTAGCATGAGTAACTACGTGCGCTGCACGGGTAGCATGACGTAGCACCTATGTGACGAAACTCAGCTGTATGGTAAGATCGTTCGTTGTTCGCAAGCAAAGTGTGCTGGTTCCGTCTTGATACAGCCAATGTATCTATCGGCTGCATCAATGTATCGAGCGAGGAGTGTGGATATAAGCTGAACGAATGGACGCGCGAGAGAACATTGGAGGCTAAATGTCGAATCAGCGCTCGTTTTGGTCGCCCGATGGTCGACATTCGATCGTGGCCAAAACAAGACCACTTCTGGCTCCAGAGCGTCGGTTATCCAGACTTGGCCGACGCACTTGCACTCTGCCCGCACTGCGTTTCGCACCAGAATAGTGCCGGTAGCTCCGCACTGTGTATGTACCAACTACTCGACCCCACAGCTGAACGCTGCCGCACCCGCTACGGAACATTCTGTCGTACGACGACCGCATGCTGTCCGCACGTGGATATCGGTCAGTTAGAGTGGGTGTACGAACGCCCGGCGGCGCTCATAGCAGATCCAGTGTGCCCAGCCACACAGTGTCCAATCGACCTCTCTCTCTCTCGCTCGCTCACGCGCCCGTGCGCGACGTCGGTGAAGACCACTGGAAGACGTGCGCCGAATCTTGAACTTCAACGACGTCAACAGTTACCCAGTACATGCGACAAAGACCTAGCCCTGCCGCGTCTACTCTTTCGAGTGATTGCACGTTGAGCTGCCCGTTCTGCGCCCCCGATCGACGCGCGACCGACCTATCAAAGGAAACGCTTTCTCCGTACGCTAAGTCGGGAGCACTTCATGCGGTCACGAGGGACAACGCGCGCGGTGGTGTGGAGGCGCAAACACGTCGCCGACGGCGGCTGCAACGCGCACTGCTTGACGCGAGCGCCGCCGGACATACGTTGCCGGGACCGCTTTGTGCACATTCCAGCCACTGCGGGCTGCGCTTTGACGAACGTGGCCTTTCTGACGCTGCTTGACTGTCACAGCCGAGCACGTGCGCGGGTTGGGTGGCTCTTCTTGCTGACAAGCGGTCGCGGCGGCGCTGCGCCGTTGTCGCGGACTGTCCATCCCGGGAAAAGGGGCAGTACTAAAGTTGTTGTGGCTCCTCTCGTCGTCGGAGTTGAGTGGCTACTGCGCCAACGTCGCAACGAACAAGAACACACCGCCGTGATTATGGCTGTGACTTGGCACTGGGCTGCAGGAACGCAGTAGGAGTCTCGCATCGTCCCTAGTCGTGTCGACAGTAAACGAGCGTCGCCGTCCGCCGCTGCTCTCTCCTGCAGTCTGTGCATTCGACCACTTGGTTCCCCGTATCTTTTTTTGCCTCCCACACGATGGACGTCATGGATTAGATCGCTGGTGACCAATAATAGCCAATCCTGGAACGCGCACGAATAGAAAATTCTGCTGGTGCGACGGGCTGACGATGATAGACAGGCGGGGGCCATCCTGGCCGGTGCTCGCTGCGCTGCTGGCCGGCATTATGGCAGAGCGCTCGCACTATTGAATCTGCCACCCAGTCCCAAAGCCCCCGCCGAGCCGCGACATGCACCAGCCGATCGACTTGATTACCACACTGCGGCAGTACAGCGACGCCGTGTCCTCGTCGTACGCCGAGACGGACTGGGCGCACTCGGACAGCGACTCGGACGACGGCCGCTCACGTGCTGACGCCAGGCGCAAGTGCAGCACCTCCACAAAGCGCCCGCCGCACGTGTGGGCACGAACGGCGCCGATCAGTATCCCCTGCAGCCGTCGCGCGCAGCCGCATCGGCGGCACCAGTGCGAGAGCGTCAGTGCGAGCCCGACGCGGTCGTATCACGCCGACATGCGGCGTCTGCGCGCCAGCCGCTACGTCATTGACGGAGACGACCTGGAGCTGGACGAGGACGACCCCGTGTTTTATGGCAATTTGGCCTTTTTTCGCTCGCAGCAACACGGCGCCTCGTTGCCGATCCAGAATCGCTGCGAGACGAGCGCCCGCGCGCACTACTCGCTCAAGGTCGACGTAGCTGCGCCAGTGTCTCCGACGGGCGTCGACGTGCGCGACGGAGCTATCTTTGCCATGGAACTGTAGACAGCACGTGAGAGAGAGTGTGTGTGTGTGAGTGAGTGAGTGAGTGCGTGTGCTTATTCTCGTAATTGTCATGTGTAGAGCCAGTTGGTGAGTCAGTCCGTCCGTCCGTCCGTCTGTCTGCCGGTCCGTCTGTCTGTCATTGAACCATTATTTATTCGCCCAGAGAGCGGTGACTCGTTCGGAGGAAGCAACGCGCAGGCGCTAATCTCCCACATTAACAATCAATTACTGCTGGATCTTGAACATCAACTTGCCCAGATCTTATCTCGTCTCGTTTACTATGACCGCATAGCGGCTCGCACGTCGTCAGTGATGTGGTGACACGTACGAACCAATGAGCAAGCGGCCGCTGTCCAACGGAGCCTCCGCCTCGTGCCATCGTCAACACAGGCGCGAGTGCCCTCGAGTGGGTTGCAGTTGTCGCTCGTCAAAACCGATACCAGCTTTCGAATCTCCATCACGAGGGAAGATTCGCGCTGCACAAAGCCCGGATCGCGCATTCATCGCACTGACTTGCACTCAGTATGCGGACCTTGTCGTGGCACTCGCTTGGCTCACCACCGTCCACGAACAGCGCCGTTCTCGCGACAAGCGACGCCCTTTCCGAGACAATTTGCCGACCGACCGACCGGTCGTCATCGTCGTCGTTCTCGACTTTGACCGAACGACTTTCCACCGCCGTCCGTTCGCTCTCGTTTCTGCCCAATCGGTCGAAATCCGGTCGCAACTTTGGACACTCGAGTCCAAACTGTCTCGCAAGGGAAGCGAAATGATGTGACCACGCGGGTTTAAGGCCGTGGCGCGGCCGTCTGTCGTCAACATGCTACAGAAACAGGCCATCTCCAAGTGCCAACGCGGGCAGACCACGGTGCGGTAATAGTCGCTCTCTATCACCTGCCGCTCAGCCAATGAGCGACGCCCGAGCGCGCGCGTGCCCTCGACGCCTGCGGTCAACTCGGCGCCCCGACCGCACCCCCTCCTCGACTCAGTCCGCAATCGTCACCGCCCCGCGTGGATCTCGTGCGCATCCGTGCGAGGCCCCACCTGCCGCTCACTCGCTCGCCCGCTCGCTCGCTGGTCCCTCCCGCGTCTGCCCCCGCAGCCCGTCCGCCGTTGAGGCAGCCGCGAGCAGTATGCGGCCCACGCAGACGCAGAGTTTGCCCACGTGGGCGCCCACGTCCGCGCGCGCCGTGTCGGCCGCCCCGCCGACGTGCCAAGCGGCCGCCGCCACGGACGACGACCCGCTCTACTTGTCGGGCGAAGAGACGGACTGCGACTCGGAGCGCAGCAGCGGCACACTGAGCCGCGAAGACCAGCAGGTCATGGCCAAGTTCATCCAACTCGAGCGCGCGCGCGCGCGCAAACGGGCGCCGGACGCGACGGCGCACCCCGACGTCGTGCGCGCGAGGCCCGTCCTGATCCCGTTGCAGTCGCGCCAGTACGTGGCCACGTCGACAAAGCGGTGGCTATGGGACGACGACGACGAGGCCGACGACGACGAGTGCAGCGGCTGTCACGAGCGCGGGGCGCGTGGGTTCGGGCCCGTGGCGCCGGTCGCCGACGGAGTCGCCATGGCGGCCCGCGACAGGTCAACGAGTGACCTCCTGTTCGACTTTGAGCTCTAGGCAGCTCGTGACGACATAGGTAGGAGCAGAGTATGTATGTAGCCCTCGTCTACTATAAAAAGAGAAGCCTCGGACTAGCCGAAGCGGAGGCAGAAGGAATGCCGCCGCGTGCCGCTAGTAGCAAATACACCCCCACACAGAGACCCCCACCGACCCACTTGCGCCCTGTGGCCTCGTGGCCCGTTCGACCGTCCGCCTCCCTCTTTGTCCCCCCCCTCGGCAGCTCAGCTGGGGATCGGCCAGTACCTGCCCACCACGTCAACTAAGACCGCGCACCATCAGCAACAACAACAACAACAGCAGCAGCAGCAATAACAGCAGCAGCAACCAGAAGAAGAAGATGCCGACGGCAGCAGTAGCAGAGCAGTAGCACAGAGCAGCGGGTCACTCCATTCGGAGCGCAGGAGCGATCCACCCGTTTATGTTTTCGCTGTCTCGACGACGTCGCTACTTTGATCCGTCAGTGTGTTTTCTGCGCCCGCAATCCGCCGCGCCCCAACCCGCCGTCGGTGGTTCGGGTCCGCGTGCAGACAGAGCCGCGGCGAGGGGGGCTGCGCCCCGCAACGTGGATGCTGGTAATCAATCACTCGTCAGCTCTCGTTGCGATCGAAAGGCAGCAGAGCTTTGCCAGCGGCCCCACTTTGCATCGTCTGGTGGCGCGCGGGCGCCCGTCGTGTGGCTTCGCTGCACCCCTTTGGAGCACACGCGGTCGAGTCGTCGATGGCGTATGGCCGTTGCGTGATGGACAGAGCGGCGACGGCGGGAGCGACTTCGTGATCGGCGCGAGGGAGTGGACCGGCCATAGTTGTGACCTCTTGGAACGCAAGACACAGCCACAGCGACGGCGGACATAACCGATGCCGGTCAGACAGACCGCTCGGCGGGGCAAACCCGTACGAGGCGGCCGTCGCTATGGCGTAATCAATCGTATGCTGCGAGCGAGCGAGCGCGATTTGTCGTCATAGCAGCTGCCAGTTGGGATCGAGTCTGTATGTCCACGTGGTATGTTATCGATGGGACGGATTTGCAGGATCGAAACATACTGATGGTATGACTGATGTGGTCTGACGCGGATATGTCGCGGAGGCGCACAATGTCGGTGGCAGCTATGACATGCCCTATGAGCGTAAACGCCATTAGTCGCTGCGGCTCATAATCATTGAGGCACATGGGCTTCAACAAACTGCCAATCCTAACTGCACACAACTGCAAGCACAAGCACGGGTCGCCAATTGGTGCGAGCCGCAAACGCTGGTTGGCGACGTGCTGTATGACGATGATGTAAGAAAAGAAGGCGTCGCTTGTCGACGATGTACGCAGACGCACTCAATGGAAGAGATGTAGACCTTACGTCGACCTTTGGAAGCTGCAACGAGCACGATCCAGCTGACCTGACGGACCACTGACTGGAAGAAGCCAGTGGCGCAATTGTTGGTGTAAGCGGGTCGCCGCGCAGCGAAAGAGAGCGACTCGCACGAAGCAGCACTGGCAACCACCTGCGCGTCAACACGCCGTGGACAAACACAAGACGTAGTAAAGCTTTCGCGAATCAAAGGTATCGGTTGTGGTCCAGTTAGTCACGTCAGCATTAGAGGCGAGCAGCCGGGATCACACAAAGCAAGGATAAGAGCTCTTGACCCCAACATAAAGAGCTCAAAGTCGACAACGCGCATAGAACTGTCGAAAGAATGAACAGGTCGTAAGCGCGATGATACTGCATCAAGTGTCGAAGGTGCCGCGATGAACAACATGTTTGGCGGTGGTACGATCAACGTCGAATTAGCGAAACATCGTTTTGTGCGGTACTGTATAACTTGCAACGTCTTTGCAATGCAGAGACCAGAATCACCATTGCCGTGTTTGCATATCCAAGACCGTGGCGGATAATAGCGACGTTCTCGTGGAGCTTCGGAACGCTGGCAGGTTAAAGAGATCGTGACAACGAGTGCTTAAGGCCTCAACGCAACACTTGCACACGTTGACAGCTCAGCAGGGCTTTTCTTGCTCTCTCGTGGCGACAGCTTTGCACGTCTTTCTGCATGCTTGGCACGTTCTTGTGCAGAGCCAAAACTCCTCCAGAACGTGCACTCGTGCAGATGGACGCAAGAAAATGCAGGGAAAGCGTAAACAGGTCAACCTGAGCGTATGATGCAGTGACGCTAGCAAAGACAAGCTAAGTTGCCAGCGGCATTTGACTGCTTTGACATGTCAAACGTCAGTGTCCATCCGGCGATTCGGGCGGCCCACTTTCAAGCGATAGTCACGCTATGGTAATCTCAAGCGCGCTGAGAGCAAGGGACTATACAGGAGCGCAGCTACTGAAGCTTCCTTCCGACTTTGGTCTACTCTGCGACCTGGTCCCGAGCGGTATGCAGCCCAGCCGTGTCGCAAGCATAGAGTGCTGTGCAGCGACAGCCCAAGTGGCTCTCTTCCCTTTGACGTCAATGGCGCTGTAAAGCAGCGGCCATGACATCTACCGAAGCACGCACGGAAAGCACGCCCGGATCAATCGCAACGCAATTGTCCCAGCACACGCCAGCGTGAAACTGGCTGATACGTTGGAGATGCCCCGCGTGCGGACGTTCGTCTTGTCGTTAGCCGAACAAAGCATCTACGCCTTCTAGACAAACGAGCATTGCCGAAGCTTCTAGAAATCTCTCGATCAATCGATGCAGAGAGTTTGCCGAGGTGTCCACGCTGTCAATCGAAGGAGAGAACACGAGGCGGCACTAGACGAGCGATGCGGAGGTTCATCGAAAGGCAAAGCTCAGTATTGTCAGTCCTCTTCAAGATGTTTGCTGAGGCACTGGTGTCAATGATCGTACCGCACCGGAGCAAAGAGAAACACTTCCGTGTCCAAACTTCGCTTATCTAGTCTGGCACACAAGACGTGAATGGTGGAGTCGGTTTCGACCATTGCTGTGATGTGAGATCGCTGAAAGTGGTACGATGCGACACAAGCGTCAGCGTCGCGAACGATGCCAGACCGTCTACACGTTCAGACGAGTAGACGGTCTGGCTTCGTGATCCATCGAATCGCATCGGTGGCCCCAACATCGACAGCAAAGGTATTTTGTAATCTTTTGCGGAGTTCAAAGGAAGAAAATATTGATGGATAGAATCAATGCAAGCGCCACGGTGTCTACTCGAAGTGTGGTTTCTGTTACGCAGTCTTTCAGTGATTGGTCACGCACATGATCGCAAGAGCATCTGTATGATCTTTCATTGAACCTGTCGAGCTCGTGACCATACTTTTGTTGGCGGTACACAGTTGACGGAAATATTTGTTTCGCTACTTTCCAGCGCGAGAACGCATCGCTCGCTCTCTTCTTTCCACTTGTGGTTTAGCAATAGTAACAAGCTCTTGGAGTTGGTAACGACAAGTTGTCTCTAAATTGGCTTCTATCCTCTGCGTATGCGTCACGTGCGCACGCCTGTAAACTAGTAGCACAATGACAGCCTCTATTCGCGATCCAGAGATAATAGGTTGCAGGATTCCAGCTCCAGTGATTCCATTAGGGCACACAATAAGCCGGCATGAGCCACACGATCTACTCAACGATATAAAACTCTCAATGCGAAAGAGTTACGTAAGTACTGACAGATCGCAAAACGACGATGAGTACCTCACAGCTTATGGGCTAGATACCCTTGATGCAAGGTTATACATATTCCAAGTACATGTTCAAATATAGCAGATGACATTTTTCAGTCATCAGACACATCCGACTGTACATCATCACCCTATCCATGCATCTACTATCTTGGGCTTGCGATGGTAGATAGAAAACATCACTCACTAGTGCTTGGGCGGGGCACATGACTGTAGACGATTCATTAATATGAGAGGAAGATAAGAAACTACACCGCACGATGATGAAGCACCAAGGTCGTTTCCTATTTTCGACACCAAATACCATGACAAATATGGTAGATTCAAAGTATTCGTTGAAAAAATTAGATCACCGAGCAAATACCGAGAGAATATGATGGGTATCACGTCTACGAATCTACTCATATCTCCTTACTTTCTTCTGTAACTGATCATTCTGAAACTTGCGACTTTTCACTCGATATTTTGCATTTGCGCGGAATAAAATGCGCTGAATCTTAAAGCGTAGCCCTTCGACGTTGTCATATACTGTATGTATGTAGCGGTGCTACATCCATGGCGCAGGTACGTGTATCATGTGTTGTACCACTCGTTTAAATGAGTGTCGTTTCAGCCGCCAAAGATACGTTTCAGGTTTTACTCTAGAAGAGGACAAACCTTACATTTTATGTTAAACATGCGGGAAAATAAAAAATGCCGTTTAATCACGAAAATAAAAAATGCCCCAGATAATTGGAAAATAAAAAATGCCCCACGTCCTAAAATACTAAACGCAACACATCTATACAAGTTCTGTTTCTGGTTGCGGTGATTCTGAACGCAATTTGTATGAGCACGATGCGACCTACTCAACCCCTCACAGTAGGTGTTGGCAATTCAGAGTGCAAGTTGCTTGAATTTCATCGTTATATTAAACCGTGTCACTATTCTTAAAAGCAGCTCGGTGGGAGCAGCACCATACTCGTCTTATTCTAGCTACACACACACGTACACTGTCATTCATTGAGCATCAGCACGCGCGTGATGCGGGCGTTCGACAATACGCGCCTTATCGACTCCAACGACTGAATCTTGCAGCTGCAACGGCACCAGCAATATCGACAATAGCAACAACAATAGCAACCACAGCATCTACAACAACAGCAGCAGTAACAGCAGTAGCATCATCAACAGAGCAATAACAACAGCAAACACAGCACCCTACAACAACACAAGCAGCAGCAACATCAGCAGCAACATTAATAAAGAAACTTAAACAACATTAACGAAAGCAATAACAGTAGTATCAACAACATTGGCACCAATTGACTGTGTTTACGGGCGAGACCGATGATACGAGGACGCGTTTACGTCCTCATATCTCGCGTCTGCGCCCGCAACTGGCGGC